TCTGTGTTATTTTGAAGGCTTTTTTTGTTCTGCAACAGTTTATGGATGCTAGTATTCTTTTTGTCTAATTTCTTTCTGTCTTATATACTGTGGTTACATAAAATATTTTAGTGCTGCCCTGCTGCTCCTTTGCCTGCCTGCCTTCCAAAAGTATATTTAAATGTGTAAGCTTGAATCTTATGTTAAGATTTATCTGTCTATATAAAATGATGTATGTGTTTCAAGACACTTAATGATGGGGCAGAGGAGGAAATAGTTTTAATTCTGGCTTGACACTTAATATTCTTGCTTAGAGTTCTTGCCATTTGCAGATTAAAAATTCTGCCTTTTCAGTATAATATTTTGCTTTGACTTCTGTACTGCTTTCTGGAATGTGCTTAATTTGTGATGTTTTTTCCCCTCTTCCCCAGCCTTGATAAGCACTGGACTTTTCTCCAAGGAGTAGTTTTGCTGAAGCACAATAGTTTTATTGTTAGCATTGATAAAGTGCATCATGAAATTTATAGCTCCATCTAGGAAATGAACCTCTAGAGGAATTATGCCAGAAGCTACTTAAAACTCAATTCCCCAGGAAGTGCAAGAGTAGCATGTCAAAATCTTTTGGTTTTTGTGGGGAGTATTCTTTTGTTTAATACCTGCTCTGTCTGTTGTGTAAAGATAATTTGAAGAAAAATTTTTAAAAATTGCAGTTTTAACTTTTTAATTCTATGTCATTGAAACACTTTGATTGTTCCCTGTGTGTATACATGCTGCTACTCTATTTTATTTTGAAATGCAGATGCTCATTCTGCCCTGAAAAGAGAATGTTGTCTTTGTATGTTAGGATAATAAAATGTATCAACAAGCTGACCTTTACTGAAAGCTGGAGACTACTTAATGAGGCACTCCAGCTTTCATTATGGTCTTCAGGAGATGATATACCACTTTACCAAGAAAGAGGATTTGGGGGCTAATTGGGAAAGAGTGGCTGTGTTCAGCTGTGAGATCTTGAATCTGCAAGTACAGAACAGTACTTCTGCGGAAACCCAGGACTGAAGCATTGATTCTCAGTCTAGTTTAAGACTAAAAGTTCAAAATAGTCAATGATCATGCAGTGCAAGATCACGTGTTGCTAGAAGGAACTGATAAATAATCAGAAAAATATTTGAGAATTGTTTTCTAATGGCTTGTGGTCATTTGTGAAGAAGGCAGCCGCTCGTTGAATTAACACTTCATATAAAAGATCCAGTTGTCCTGGTTGTGCCTGTCGGGGAGGTGCTCATGCTGGTGCGGGTGAATGTTTGGAGGAAGCTGCAGTCCAGTGGGAGACCCAATGGAGAGAGGCGTTCCCTGCTTCCAGGATGGAGCAGCCTGTCCTTGGAGGGCTGTGCCCTGTGGAAAACTGATCCACACTGCAGCAGTTTTGGGAGGACTGTTTGTCTGTGGGAGGGACTCATGTTGCAGTGGTTTTGGGAATACTGCTGCTCACGAGATTGGATCCACACTGGAGAAGTTAATGGAGAGCTGTGTCCCATGAGAAGGAACCCCATGGTCTCACAGGGGAAGGACTTCTCTCCCTGTGCAGTGGAAGAAGATCTGAGGTTATGAACTGACCAAAACCTCTGCCCCCTGTCTCTGTGCACTGTCGATGGGAAGGAGAAAGGCATTAGGGGAAAAAAGAGTGGTTTTAAGGGCTTATTTTATTTCTCATTTTCCTCCTCTGATTTTGTTAATAATAAATTTACTTTGTACCTCTAAGTTGAATCTGTTTTGCCCTTGGAGTGTCTTCTCAGCTCATGAACCCGGAGGGTGAGTGAGTGACTTCCATGGGTGCCTGGCTTTTGGCCAGTTTCAAACCATGACAGCATTCTGGGTGATCATTCGAATTTCAAAGACTTTTACTTTTTGCTCTGGGAGGGACTAGAGGGATATAGTATATGTGGATGGGAGGTAGTGAACATTCCTGAAGGGGATTAATTTTGGGGTGACTTAGACACTTTGATCTTTTCCATCTTCAGGTTGGCTTGTTTTAGCTTGCTAATATAGGGATAGCAAATTCCCTCGTTCCTTTTATGTTTGGAAAATTGCTTATAGCCCACACATGACTCTGTAATTGGGAAGATATTGTTCATTCTTGCCTGATGGAAGACATTTCTCTGTCTGCTGACACGGAGTTCCAGACTAGATATAGGGAATGCAAGAAGAATGTAGATGGGAAGCAGAACTGCACAACTCCTAAGCTACAAGTCTTGAAGAAATTGACACTAATTGTCCAGAACAACATCACGTATTCTGCAGGGCGAGGGAAGTAAAATTGCTCAGTAGCACTCGGAGCTGCCTCTGTAATATTTGGTTACTGTGTAGAAACTTTAGTGAGTTTAGGAAAATTTTATTTATTGACAATCTATAATAGTTCACTCTCATGAATATGTTTTTCTTGTTTATTTCAAATTCAGACCTCTTAAATGTGGGTAGAAGGGATCATATACATAGACAAGGGGCTGGTGATAGCAAAATTTATACTCTGCTTCTCAACCAAACATCTTGAAGACAGTTAAGCTTGTTCTCTGTTGAACGTGTATTGCCCTGCCTCCTCTCAAGTTGCTCTTTTATAAGTCAAGATTTTCCAAAAGAATGAGGATTTTCTTTGCAGTGTATTTTTTCATAATTCTGCTTGGGTGCTTATCCTGCAGATAAGATAGCACTCATCGGGTTACGGGGAGATTTAATCCCTTACCTTTTCCCCACCCTAGAAGATATTTTCAAAAGCTTTTTATGTGTGCATGTGTAATTTGGAACGTTTCATCTCTCTGAGGGTATTTATTTCTTACTAAGATACAAACTAGCAGCACATGAGCCAGAGTCCTGGCATACGCTTATAGATTTTTTTAGTGGAATTTCCCCCAGTGTTGCTTCTACATTTAGAGATTTTTAGGAGTTTGCTTTGGACTGGGATCACACTTTGATTATTTTAAGATCTCGCAGAATTTTGTTCAGAAATGTGTTTGACAAAGGCCGTGTCTAGGATGAATAAATGTAGTCTCTCCAGCTTTGATTAGATGATTTACCTTGATGCTTTTGTAGTTTGTGGCTCATTCTAGGTGCATTGGGGTCCTAAGGAAGGAATATTAAGCACTCTTCTCACCCACCACACCCTTTTTAAAACAAAGCAGGGGCAGTTGAAAACTCCTGAACTCACAGGGACTGTCACCTGCTGGTAGCTGGGCCTCTTCTAACAGCAGATTGTGTATTTGGGGTTAAAGTTGAGTAAACTGAATAAAGCATGGGTGTTTTTTTGGTTTTTTTTTTTTTGTGTTTGAGAGACCTTGGGTGATATAGTAGTGTTAAAAAAATTAAAAGAATTGACAATTCTGCCATCTGCTACCATTTTTCAGGAGCAGTAAGTGGTTTCTAGTAATTGAATTGCTTTCTTAACAAATGTCTCTTTAAGAAAAGAAGCTGATGACTAAAGCAAGTTGAGTGAGTCAAAGAACATAAACTGCAATACCTGTAAAATTTTTTTTGTTTTTGAGGATTGTGTTAGTTAGATACTGGCACTTATTATAGGAGGACCTTTGGGGGACCTCGGAGGATAATTTTTTGTTGCTGTCTCTGTGGAAGTATTTGCTTCTAGATTTAGATAGGTCAGTCAGTGGTGAAGAGGAAGTCTTAGCATAGGTCATGATGCAAGTAAGCATTGCAGTAGATGATAAGCTATACAAGCTTATGCTGACTGGAATGCTTGGAAATGATGGCATGAGTTGGACAACTATGAGTCTAAATTCCAGGTCATCTGATTCTGCTAGAAGTTTTCACTTAGATGACCTTGTAGGATTATCTTGCTTTCCTGAGACTGAGCTTATTGCAACACTGAGTCTCAGTTCAGGCAGCCTGATGTTTGGAGGATGCTTCACATAAACCAAGAAGTCTGTAAGGGGTTCTCTCCTTTTCACAAAGCACATTCAGTCACAGAGAGACAGTTAAACACAGCCATCCTTCAAGAGGCAGCGTAATAGAAAGATAATAAATTTTCTGCAGGGTGTTACTATGAGAAAGCGTATTTAGTCTGAAGACCTCTGTCCGTACTCACAACACCTGCAAACAGTAAGAGCAAAAAGAGCATCTATATTTTGTGGTACAGGAATTATACGATTAATAGATTGTGTATATGTGCATGTTTTGCATGGAAAAGATTAATTTATCATGGTTGGGTGAATAGAATAGAGTAGTTCAGGTTATAAAATTGCAGAATTTGTTTTGGCTTAACTTAATTCTTAATTAAAAAGAATTTTATCACTTATTCTAAGAAAAATACTTTATCCTTTATTTGCTTGAAAATGTTATTTCTTTGTTAAAAATTTCTGTGCTGGTATTGATGTGTTCTATTAGCAGTAAATTCTGATTTCCAGAGTTCAAGCTGTTATCATATATAAACACAGTATGCTTGTGACTGTATGGAGGACGTGGAGACAGGTTGGAGTTTTGGGTTCACATGGTGAACTATGGTTGTTCAAGGTGGTGGAAGAATAACTGGAAAAGGTGGACAGTTAATTGCAGGCAGGGGAAGGTGGCAGTTGCAGTCAGTGTAATAACAGGCTGTGCATTGAACTTAAGCTGAACCTAACATTGGTTTGAACAGCTGTCTGGCATTTTGCTTTCCTTTACACATTTCCCCCTGTGCTGCCACTCTTCCTTCTGCCCCCTGTAAAAAACTTCAGACCTAGTAGGATCTGATACAGGTCTGAAATAAAATGTTTCCTTCAGCTCTGCTAATAAGATTGGGAAGCTTTTTCAGATGCTTTGGTAAATATTTTTATTTCTCACTTAACTGTTTTTTTGAGGTACAGAGGAGAAATGTATGTACTTAGAGCATAACTATGTGGCTGTGTAGGGGTTAAGTACTATTTAAAAATTGTTTTAGTGAGGGGAAAAAGGCTTCTAATTCTAGTGAAATAGTTTTGGAATTTGCCCTGTCAGTTAGTAATATTTCACTAATTGAAGCAACTCTTTATTTAAAACAGGCTCACAACAATCCATCTGGAGAATTGGCTAGTGGACAAACTGAGGTATGTTCACTCATCACATATTTTATATGCTGTTGTTTCCGAAGTAATCCTTTTAACTTGGAAGAATGTAGTCAAATCTGTGCATTCCTTGTGGTTTCTCTACTGCTGAGAGTTGCAGCTTATAAAAAATTTTACTGCCTTACAATCTTGTGGAGTGAAAATTAACAGACAAAACAAGCATGTAGTCACTAGGCTCTCTGGCTGTTAGGTTTGTTTGGCAACATTAAGGCATTGTAAATTTTGCTGAAAGAACATTATGAAGAGGCCGGTCTCTCTTTTCCCCTTTCTCTTCTGTACACTTGCTTGAGAGAACAAAGTGTATTCTGACTATAGTTTGCTCAATCTCCTTACATGTGTTTGTAGGAAAGTGAGTTATTGTTTGGAAATTCTGCTTTTGCTGTAAGGGAAAGGGCAGGGCCTGTGTTGATATATACTGACAGCTGAAAAATTTTACAAGTTTTCCTGCCCTAAACTGCATTATACGAAGAAAGTCACGTAATTCTAAAAGGTCAACTGTAGGGAACGCTGTGCTCCAGGACGGCTTTGATGAATGGAGACGAGAGATCTCTGAAGGTTGCTCTTAGAAGATAAGGTTTATTAGGGATGGTGAAAGGTCTTGCTTGGAGCTGCCAGACACAGCACATGGCAAGGCCTGAGGGATGGGGGAGGGGAGAGATAAGGGGTAGAGAGGATGCTCTAGGAGAGGGTGGAAGTTCCAAGAGGGGGGAAGATCCAAGAGAGCTTCTGGCCCCTCGGAGACCCCTTATCAGGGGGCTTCAAGGTGGGCTGGAACAAGACTTGGGCCAATGGGGTTACAGACATTTGATGTTTCAGGGGAGGGTTACAGGTGTGGGATGAACCATACATTCTGGGGGTTGAGATGGAACAGTCCATTTGACTTTTGGATCTATCTGTAGGTAAGGGCATTGTCCAGCCAGTAGGGGGGATTGTTTTCATCCTGGTTGTACTTCTGTAAATCTTTTGCCAGGCAATTATATTTATCTATCCTTTCCAACAGTCAACATACAAATCTTGAATAGCTAACTGTACACTTGTAGATGGTGTTTTCCCAATACTGAAGAATCTCTGCTTGTTCTTAGTTGCTTAGTTTTGTCAAATGGCTTGCTGCTTGTTAAGAAGTATACTTTGCCAGATAAAAATATTTTGAAATAGTAAAACCTCTAACCATATGGCTTTTTGGGTGAAATCTGTGGAGTGATGAAGACGTGCTAATACTTTTGGCTGGACTGAGACTTGGTAGCTTTTTTTTGAAAGATTACGTCTTCATTAACAGATGATTGCAGACACACCTCAGGTTTTGAGAAAATAATATTTGTGCTTTCCCTTCACAACGTTTATAAAAATACCAGCCTGCACATCTGCCTTGTCAACAGACCTGCAAACAAACATGTCCAGGCAATAAAGATGCTTCAGAAGTTTTAGTTGATTTCAACAGCAATATTGATACACTACAATATTGATATACTCTGTAGTAATTAAAATGTTACCAAAATAATTGGATGTCAAAACTAACTAAGCCTTTTAAATAAGCATTCTGTGGTCTCACATGCTTTTTATTATTAATTTCCATGAAATTTCAGATTTTGGCAAGTGTGTCATGTGACTATTGCTTTTGTAAATTGCTGTGATTTAGAAAATTACTTTGTTTGAAGAATCTATTCTAGAAGTGCTTTCTGTTTTTTTTTCCTGTGGGGCAGAAGGAGTAGTAACTGCTCTGATAATGAATGAAACCCTCTAAAAGCGCAAGAAAAAAAAATTTATCCTATGATAAATTAGAAGTTATGAAGGCTTTAAAGGAAACTTGTTTTCTGAGAAAAGAGTAAAAAAGCAGCGTACTTTTTCAGTGTGCCAATATGAAAGTACTCTTGGTGCTACAGATGTGGATGGAAACCATAGATCCCTGATGAAGTGATACTGATAAGATTGGAGAGTATTTGATAAGAATAAGGGTTTGTGGAGCTTTGTTGTTGGTAGAAGGAATAAGTTGGTGTTTCAAGTGGATACTTTGGGCCTTTGACAAGGATCATGAAAATCAAGTTAATAATGTGTCTGGGTGAGTTTTTCTTTACTTGCTGTGATAAGAGATCCTGATTTTAGTGCCAGAGAAATAACTAGGATAGCTATTTAGAAATTTAAAGAGTGTAGTTTTTTGAGCCAAAAGAAAAGAGCAGATTAGTTGAGTTAAGCAACAGTTGCATTTTGCTTAATTTTCTTGATGTAATAGTTTAACTATTTGTCCTTGGGTGAGTGTCCAGGTTAATCAGCTACAGAGCCGCTCATGTATAATAACTCCATAAATGTCTCTTGTGTTTGATTTCCTTTTCCACAAGAGCTTTAGGTCTTGTAGCTGAATGTGATCCTTGTACTTATGCCATCTTACATTATTCTGGTTCATTCATATGGTAGAGGAGAGGAATTGAGGTTCCAAGCCTCAGTCCAGTCGCAACAAATATTTTTGTAGTTGGATGAGAACATAGAGTGATCCCAGTTGGTTGCAGCCTGCATTTGTCAGTGACCTAAATTGATGAAATTTGTCAAGACAGCTATTTTCTTGTACTCTTGCTAGAGGTAAACATTTGAATGAGAATAGGTAACTAACTGAAAAGGTAGAGACCATTGGGACAGTCAGGCAAGGGTGTTATCCCATCTCCAGCCTATGACTGGTGACTGTGAAAACAATTATTAATAAGGTGGGGTTAAGGTTAACTTAACTAAAATTATTTTATATATAAAAATCTGAGGTTCAGCAGAAATAGGTATAATTATGGTTATTAGCTTGCTATTGATGCATTCTTTTACCATAACAGGGTACACTTTGCTGCTAAATATTTCTTAACATTTGCTTTCTCAAATAGAGGTAAGGTTGAAGCTGACATGGCAAGTGCTTTCCCTTTATTGCAGAGTGTGATTGCATCTTGTGCTCAGCATGTCTGCCAAAGCCTGAACAGCCTACTTTTACTGATTGGTGTACCAGAGTGTAAAGGCTGTTTAGAGCTGGAAGCAGTGTGCAGATTGGAAGAGGAGCCTTATTTTGCTGTTTGTCACAGTGAGCAGCAATGTGTCTGTTACCATCAGGCGAACACTTATTCCTCCTTAGCATTTTTAAAACTCATTGTGCATCATGAAAATGTTGTTGTAATATAAATGATAGTTTTAACTAGGAAGTTTTGACAATAGTGCTTGCTGGTTTTTGTTTGTTTGGGGTTTTTTTTTGTGTGTGTCATTCATGTTCTTCAGTAAAAATACAAACCTCCCTAGTACCTGCACTATCTCAAAGTTTCCTCTGATTTGCTTAGGTGGTGAGTGTGGGTTCTGTATATTATCTGTGGTTAGTAGCAATAAGGGAATATGATCAAGGCTTTGATCCAATATACTGCTTTAACGAGAAACACTTGTATTCAATGGTTGCAACCACCAATCTTGTATTATCAAAAATAAAAAAAACAAACCCAGAAGGTATGCAAAACCTACAGTTCCAAGCAGAGTGTTTTTCATCAGCTTGTGTTTTCAAAGACCACACAGTAACACCAGGAAAAATACAAAATAAATGACTAACCACAAGTTGTCTGCTCTCTAGTGAAAGTAAAGAATTTGCATCCAAAGCAGGATTATTGAGTAAACATTTCTGATTTTTGGAGTGACACCTACTGTCATGGTTTGACGCTAGCACAATGCCAGCGCCCCATGAAAATGCAACCTACCAATCAAATGCTGTGAAACGCGATTGAGAACAGAGCAAAGCAGGCCAAACTTAATAACAAAGGAAAGACTTTATTACACTACTACTAATAATATAAAGGGGAAGAAAAAGAAAAAAACACACACAAATTCAAAATGAAAACCTTCCAAAACATTCCTCCTCCCACCACCCAACTCCAACAAACCACAGCGAGACCCATTTAGATCCTTAATCAAGTTTTCACCCTTCAATATAATCAATACTGAGTCCATCGGGGAAGAGAGGAGTCCCCCTTGCACCACAGACCCCCAGGAAACACAGCTGCCACCTCTTGTGTTTCCATGTCACACGTAGCACTGCCCAGACACACCAGCCAGTGTGACACCCTCCTCTCCATGTCACAGTGCTCTCACCACTGGGCATGGACAGAGACTGCTTATAGGGCCCCTTTAAGGATGCTTTGCCAAGGACCACCAGGAACAACAGTCCAGTGTCGCATTTTGGGACTAGAGTCCCCCCCCATTTTCCCCTGGGGCCGAGGGTCCAAGGACAGAGATCGCCTTCTCTTCTTCTCTGAAGATGGAGGGCATCCTCACACCCTCCTCAGCTCTCTCTCTGTCCATTCCTGAACTGGTAGTTGCTGAAGGTCTCTTGTCTCACCAGTGCATCTCCCTAAAATGCAGTCCCTCTTGGAAGAAGGAGTGGTTCAGTCTATGGTAAACAAGCAGAGTCCAGCCAAAAGCCACTCCATCATCTCCCCCCAACCTTCTTCTCTGAACATCTGAGGTCCCAGGCTGTCTCTTTCCTTCAAATTGTGGAGGAGTAATATTTCATAAAGCCTTCATTTCACAGGAAAGAGTTAAAATTCCCGGACTCCCCGGATGGCTGAAATCTCAGCCCAGGACTCTGTCTCCAGTCTCCCACGCTGGGCATCTTCCCCCCCCTTCTCCTTCTCCTCTGCCGGCAAACTTCCAGGTGTCTGCTGGCTCTCTATCTCTTTTCCCTCTAGCTTGGGGGAGGGGGGGGAACAAAGACATCCCAGATGTTTTCCACCCTTCCATCTGAAAGAGCTGGCCCAGCTCGGTTCCGATCCTTCACCCCCTGGCCTACCTCTGCAGGCCACATGGCTCCCCTCCCCCACCCAGCCTGGGCTGGGGGGGGGGGGAGGGGAGAGGGGGGAGGTCTGTACCTTGCGATGACCTCCTGGGAATTCCGCTTTTAACCCCTCTGTGTTCTCAAAGGCGTGTCCACCTTCAGTTGGTCACCCCAAGTGTCAATATCCAAACCTGAGCCCTGACTG